AGCTACAAGGGCAAGTGGAAAGCAGCCAGGCGTGATTCTAAGCTGTTCAAATGGGAACTGCTGTGGGATAGAGGCGCTCCAGGATGGATAGAGGCGCTCCAGGATGGGCAGAGGTGCTCCAGGATGGATAGAGACACTCCAGGATGGGCAGAGGCTCTCCGGGATGGACAGAAGCTGCAACTTCCCTGGGAGCGGGCCCGGCCTGCAGAGCCTTCCCAAAACAGCTGGGCTGGGAAGCAAATGCGCTGGGCCGGGGAAGTAGTGGAGAAGTGAATCCGGAGCCTCTGCCTGCTCTGCTTGAGGTTTACGATGTCCGCCGGGGTTTGTGCTATTGTAACTTTCTAGCAGAGCAGCCTACGCGAGTGCTGGGGAAGCAAATTGCTATTGAGAGGCTTAGAAGGCTCTGAGGAAGAGGCAGAAGTGCCCAAGGTCTCCAAAGTCTTAAACGGAGCCTGTTTACTGGGGAGGATGAACATAGCATGACTGCAGTCTGCCTGACCCAAGCGTGGAGCCGTGTCCTGCTGTGGGACACACGGCTCTGCGGGTGACACGAGGGGGCGAAGGAGGCACAGGCCGGGCACCTCTTCCTGCAGAAGGTGATGAAAATTTGCCTGAAACCCGTAGCCACATAAACACCCACCCTGCACAGCTGTGGAGCAGGAGTTGGCTGCGATTCTGTGCTGGAGTGCAAGTGCCAGCAGAGAGGGACCTGGGTGTCGTGGTGGACGACAGGTTGACCGCAAGGCAGCAGTGTGCCCTGCTGGCCAAGAAGCCAACGGGCTCCTGGGGTGCATGAAGAAGAGCGTCTCCAGCAGGTCGAGGGAGGTGATCGTTCCCCTATACACAGCCCTGGGGAGGCCACATCTGGAGACTGTGTCCAGTGCTGGGCTCCCCAGTATAAGAGGGATGTGGAGCTGCGGGAGAGAGTCCAGCGCAGGGCTACGAGGATGATCAGGGGCCTGGGACATCTGCCCTGTGAGCAAAGGCTGAGGGAGCTGGGCCTGTTCAGCCTGGAGAAGAGGAGGCTGAGGGGGGACCTGATCAGTGTCTAGAAATACCTCAAGGGAGGCAGTGGGGAGGAGGGGGCGGCCTCTTTTCAGTGGTGGCCGCTGATAGAACTAGAGGAAACGGCCACAAACTGAAGCACCAAAAGTTCCACAGGAACTTAAGGAAAAATTTTCTAACAGTGAGGGTGCCAGAGCTCTGGAACAGGCTGCCCAGAGAGGTTGTGGAGTCTCCTTCTGTGGAGATCTTCCAAACCCGCCTGGACGCAGCCCTGTGCCACGTGCTCTGGATGACCTTGCGTGTGCAGGATGGACTAGATGATCTCTAGAGGTCCCGGCTAACCAGAAGGATTCTCTGATTCTGTGATTAACCGTCTGGGGTAGCGTTTCCCTCTGTGTAGCAGGTCTAGGGAGTGTGGATGGCAGGAGCAGAGCAGGTTATGGGGTTAAGGAATTAGAAGCTGAGGTCTGGTTACAATGAGTGAAGAGGCAATTGCATCTCCATAATTACACAGATGACACAAGGATGTGGAGCGGGCGAGTCCGGCACGTGCAGCCTCCAAGGAGCAGCGTTCCCGAAGGGAACCTACCTCCCCTTGGCGGCTTGTTTGTCTATTGGAAGGATGTCAGTGTGGAGCATCCTTACCTGGGAGGGAGCAGGCGAGCGTGTAGTCCAGATGCCACCTCATACACAGGTGGTTTCTCTGGGACTCTTGGTTTTCTGCAGCCTCCTCCGCCAGCTCTAATCTCTTTGTTAATTATTCACCAAGTGTCTTGCCTCAATTCTTACCCTACTGTTTTTTAAGCAGCGTGGATTGATTCCAGCCTCCAGGAAACCTTTGGAAAAGGACGTATGGTTTAAATTGTGGTATTTGACTATATTTATAGCCCTATGCAAATAGAGGCAAGAGGAGTCCTCACAGAGTGTGTCATACTGGGACATATATAGAAAAATGTATGATTTATATATGGGTTATTCCAGGCAAACCTTTTGCTTTCTCTACAGCCTGTCTTCTGCAGAGCTCTCTTTTTCTAATGCGCATTTATGCTGCTTTGTGGTGTTTTAGACTAGCTCCCAGCTTGTGAAATGTCACGTTGGTTCCTCTAAGTAAGAGGAGGAGGAGGAGGGCGGGCAGCGATGGCTGCGGGCAGGCCCCTCTGCAGCGCTCTGTGAGGCGTCTCCACCCGGGCGAGCAGAGCGCGGCCGTGGGCTCGTGGCCACCGCGGCCCCTTGTGCTTCCACGGCCCCTTGTGCCGCCACGTCCCGCTGTGCCGCGGGGCTTTGCGCGCCCTGCTGCGGAGCCGCGCTCTGCTCAGCGGTGGCCGCCGGCCGCGTGCAGGTTGGGGGCGCAGCGCGGGGCGCCTGGCTGCAGCGCGGGCAGAGCCCGTGGCCCCGCTCGCAGCCGCGCGCCCCAGGGTGCTGTGAGCAGCCGAGGGTGCAGAGCCCAGCCAAGAGCCGGCGCGGCCCCTGCAGATGCCGCTCGCAAGCCGTGCCGGGAGCCCACGCAACCTCCTCCCTTGAGAAAGCGCCTTTAGCCTTGGGGTGCTCTGAGCGCCTGCAGCAGGGCAGTGCTCCGGACAGAGAAGGCCCCAATTTGCTGGATGAACAGATTAAATTAAAAAGTTTTGGAAGAGAAACACACCTTCTTCCCGTCCCGACCACGCACACTCCATCTTTCTTCTGGCTTTTCCTCGCAGGTCGGCAGTTTTCTGTGGCCTCCTGGGTCAGCGCTGGGCTCGGAGGTGCCCTGGGGGCCTTCCCAAGGGCTCCGAGTCCCCCGTCGGGAGCCGCTGCAGGCCGAGGCCCCGCGCTGGCCCTGCTGCCGGCTCCCCGCAAGCAGCGCTGCATCCCGCAGGGAGGCTCCGCCTGGCTCCGGGCCGGCAGCGCTGGGTTGTGCTGCCCGTGGCTTGCGCAGGGGGATGATGGCCCAGCAGTGCGTCCGTGCTCTGCCTTAGAGCCACCCGCTCCCCAGCCACGATTTGGAGCAATAGGGGCCCAGGAAAATAAACATGAGATTAATTTCACCGTAGGGTTGTTTATTACATGCACTGCCAAAGCATCTAGAGACTAACTATGAAATTGAGGTTGACATGATAAAATCATTCAGGAATCCCTGCCTCCAACACCTCCTTGCTCTTTACCACTCTCAGATTAGAGGTGCCTCACGAGGCAGCCCGTGTGGTGTACAGGACGCGTCTGTGGCTCGAGCGGATGCGCTGGGTGGCCCGGCCGGCTGGCGTCAGCCGCGGGGCTCCAGGACAGGGCGGGCGGCCGTCGCCTTCCGCAGCCAGGCAAGAGTTGCTGCTCGGTGGGAGCAGGTGGCCTCGCTGAGAGCCCCAGTGTGTGCCGGGCACGGGCAGAGCCGCTGCTGCCCCGAGCAGAGCTGGGAGTGCCCGCTCCGCCGCAGCCTCTGCTTTGGGCAGCCGTGCCCTGTGTTTGCGCCGGGCCGTGCTGCGCCTGCCCTACAGCCTGCCCTGCTGCCAGGGGAGAGGCGGCTGGCGCGCGCTCCTCGCTCGCCCTCCATGCAGCAGAGCTGCCTGCGGCGGACACCCGGCTTGGCGCGGCCCGGGACAAGGCAGCGCCTGGCACAGGCTCCGTGCGGCCGGCAGGGCCTCTCCGCCCGCGGAACCGCTGCCCGCCAGCGCGGCGGGATGCGCCTCCGGACACGGTCGCTCTAGTCCTGTGGCCCCTCTGTCACTCGGACCTTGTGCTGCTGCATGCTTGAAGCCGCTCGGGTGTCCGCAACCTCGTGGGGTCCTTGCCCAGGGGCTGGAGGGAACCAGGCGTGTAACGAGCTGCCCCGGTGCGCGTGGAAGTTGGTCCCTAGGGTAAATCTGGTGCCTGAAGCTCCCTACCAGACCTGCTGCGCTTCGCCCGTGGCCAGCAGTGCCTTCTAGCACAGAACGGCTCCTCGTGCTCTGCAAAGGAAAGGCTTGTTCTGCAGAAGGATGTCACCTGTGGGTTATTTGGCTTCCCAAACCCTGCCCACGGATTTGTTTTACAGCAACTGTTTTGAAAAAAGAAAAATTCTCTGGAGTTTTCCAACATGAAGGAACTGAAAGAGAGGGGGGTAGCTCCGGCTGGTTTCAGAGGCGAAGGACTTGTTTTTCCTTCTAGTTTGGCCGTAGCTGCATTGGGGTCAGCCCTGACCCAAAGGGGAGGGGAGGCCCTGTTGGCTTTTGCTGAGGAGGCAACCTCTCTTTCCCAGGGCAATATACATTTATTTTGGCTTAAGGTGCGCAGATGCAGTACTCTTTTTCCATTTTTTTTTCTTCCAGGGTTGACATCAGTATACTATTTCGTATTTTGTGCCATTTTGTAGTTTTGTATTAATTTGTGGCAGCATATGAGAGTCTTCTTCACAGGCACTCAGCTAACATTGAGGAAGTCCAACATGTACGTGCCTATCCTTGTCCCTCCCTAGGTCCATGTTGTTTTTTATTTCACCTACAGAAACATCTATAACATTTTCCTATATAGGCAGAGCATCTTTGCGGTCCGGTTGGAGCACGTGCCGTGGGCGGGAGGCGGCACCGGGACAGTGGCTCCGCGGAGCAGGGAGGCAGCAGCGGCGCTGGGGCTGAGCCCCCCTCTTGCAGGCAGGCTCCTTGGGGCCCTGTGGCCGCAGCCCCCCTGCTGCCCAGCACCGCTCCGCCCCGGTGCCGCTGCCACCACCGCCGCCGCCGCCGCAGCCCTTCCCCGCGGCTGCGCCCGACCCACCGGCAACACGTGGGAGTGGGCGCAGACTTGGAGGAGAAAGCCAGGGCAGCAGGCGGGGCAGTGCGCAGCACAGGGGATGACAGGGTGGTACATGGAGAGCAGACACGGCTGTTTGCGTTCTCCTGTTGCAGATATTGAATATTGCACAGAGAAATATCATCTTTCAGACTCAGGGGTTTCAGGTGGAGTTCATACAAGTCTTAAAAAAGATGTTAACATTTTCTTTGCCTAGTATCTTTTCTAGTGCCATTTCTAATCTTATTCTTTTGTTTCAGAATTGCTGATTTGCTTCTCTGAAGGTTGATTGACTCCAGTTCCACCACCATGGATGAACTCCAGGACGTGCAGCTGACGGAGATCAAACCCCTTCTCAACGACAAGGTAGCGCTCGCTGCTCCCTCGCTGCTCAACTCGGGCTGACTTTGCATCCTGCAGGAAGCTCTGATTGCTGGAATCTGTTTACAGCTTGGAGTGCCTTCAGTCCTCCAAACCAGCAATTGCTTCCCCATTTTGATAATTCAGCACCACATTCTCCTCTTAAGTGTCAGAGAAAGAGAGACTCCCAGGGAGCAGTGCAAATAAATTTGGAGTCCCAGGCAAGTTCAATGTGTTGAAGACAGGGGAGGAGGTGGAATGACGATACCCTTCCTGACATGTTTGAGCTGCAGAATCTCCAAGTTCATGCTTGTTAGAGAAACCATTGCTAGTATCATATTTATTTTTGACTTGTTAAAATCTTTCATCTTCCAAATTATCTGCTTGTTTTTCATGTTTTTTAATGTTTTTTATGTTTTTTTAATTGGTAATTTTCCATGTGCAGCGTGAAATCAAAGGGTCTGATGTTCCCATCAAAGTGCTGAGGTTCCCAGTGCTTTGCTGCTTAATGGCTGACATCAAGACCTGGCTTGTTCTGCTAATTGCAAGATGTGATAATTTCTGAATGAAAACCTTATTTTAGCAGTTCACTCTGTGCCCCTAGAAGGCTCTGTACTCAGTCGCAGATGGGTGGAAAGTCTCAAGTTCTGCTATGTTTTAGTGTATTCCTAGTTCCTTAGGAAGAAACACACGGAGGAGCCGAGAACCCGGCCCAGCTCCGCACAGAGCTGGGGAGGGTACTTGCCCTGGCTCTTCTTTTTACATTTTCTTCTAAAATGCCTCAAAGAAGTATCTAGCCCTCACACCTCGTGTCTAGTGGATCATGTAGGTGTGATGCTAGAGCATGCTCTTCTGTGCACCAGAGTCCAAAAAGTATTGAGCTGGCAGTTCAGTAGGATTTTCACCAAGCAGCCCACCTTTAAAGACAGGGTTTTAAATGAGCCAGCCTGGATTAATGGCCAGAAATAGTTCAGTAAAACTCTTAAGGTGCTAATGGATGGGTGCTCATGAGCTCTAAAGATAAACAGGCTGCTGCACAGAGAAAAGGAACTCCAGTGTCTTAACACCCAACTCAAAAAAAAAGGAGAGGGGCTGAAGAATTGAAGTGGGTCACAGCTGCTCACTTGCCTGCACGGCAGGAAGCTCAGCTAGGGGCCTTGCTGAGCCCTGGTTTTGTTTTGTCCCAAATCCAAGACACCAGTCCCTCCGTCCTCAGTTATAGGTGTGGCAACAGTTCTTCAGTAAAAATAGTTTGCAAAGGAAAATCAAGAATACTCTAGTATGTTAGTTTTTATTCAAAACTTTGATATCACTTCTGATTAATTCTTATTTTGGCACTTTTGACCCCTATTGAAATAGCCCCAGCAAAAAGTGATTGAAATACCGCAGGTTAGTTCAGGACGTTGACTGGACAGCCCTTAGACTGGGCTGGATAATTTCTTGTTTGCCTTTGAAATGCAACCATCGCATCTTCATCAGACAGGAAAACCTGTCTTCATCTTAAACAACATAAATTTAGGAAACTAAATAGATTCACGCTTTAACATCAGGCTTTGGTGAATTAAAATCAAGTGTCCAGGAGTCAGGACATGCCAGCACTGAGGCTGCTTGCATCTGCTCTCACAGGGAACCATAAAATTGCAGACTTTCATGATTTGATATTTCCCCGTCTCCCAGAGAATCCTGCTTCTCTCAGCATAAATTCAGATCAGCCTTTACTTGCCAGGCATCATTCACGCCCTGTGCTGCGAAGTTATTTCCTCAGAGACTTGTTTATCCTCCTTATTCACCTTGACGTTGGGTGACTGGATTTATCTTCTTTATGTCTTGGTAGATGAGGAGACTTCACTGTCTGCATTTAACAGAGCAAAGAAAGAGGCGTAGATGAATTCTCAGAAATCTCAGTATGTCAAACTGAAATTGAGCCAGTTGCTTTCTCTTTTCCTCCTACCTCCTCACCTCGAAGACAGGTCCATTGTGCCACTTTGTGTTCAAAACATTGACCCAATGATTCTTAGACCAGATGTGCAGCTGTCTCAGCTTGATCACCTCCAAGTGTGAAGAACATAGTTAAGCTGTGTTCTTGCTAGCGGGGCAGAGCCTGTGCAAGGAGAGCGGGGCTTGTTCTTGTGCATGGAGAGAGCTTGGAGTGCTCGCCCGTAAGAAGGGTTTGGGGCACTTGTCTTTCTCCTATGTGGTCCCAGTTGTAATTTTAGCAGTAAAATGTAGGTTGTGCCTAAGGCACCCAAGCTGGAGTGCTGACTGAGGGTCTGGTGGCCGTGTCCAACATGTGGGAGCGCTCGGCAGCACTGTGCCAAGCCGGAGCCTCGCGGGGCCCCGTGGAGCAGGCAGTGCAGGGCCCCGGGCAAGCGCAACGTCCCTGCCAAGTGGCTTCCCTGCTTCCCTGCCTCACGTTGCCGTGTGCGGGGCTGGCTGCCTTCCTGGAACAGCGCCAGGGCAGCAGCGCCCCTGCAGGGTGGCGCCCGCAGGGCTGCCCATGCTCTGCCCCTCGCCCTGCATCTTCCTGGCCGTCCTGCGAGGACTTGTCCATTCAGGGCCTCCGGGACAAGACAGAAGTGGGCCTCGCGAGCAGCCCGCGTCGGCCGGGGTGCCTCCAGGCTGCGTGTGCCCCGCTGCGGGTGCCGCCTCCCACCCGCCTCCAGGGAAGCTCCGTGAGCCTGGGCAGCCGCCCGGCCCCGCTCCCCGCGCCCACGCGGCCAGGGCTTGCAAGGATTGTGTCCCCCTCCGAGCTGCCCACCCGGCGGCACTTGGGCTGCACGGGTGAAGCTCAGCTCTCTGGGGGAGCTTCCTCTTGCTGCTCTTGCTCTCAGGTTTAGGGCACCATGCTGAACCTTTTCTGTCTTTTTTTGTTTTAACAGAATGCTGCTCGTAACTTCCAGGACTTCGACTGTCAGGTAAGACACATCCAGGAGCTGAGGACCTGCATGTAGCCTCCATGTGGCCAATCAGAAATGCTCAGGGACACATGAAAAAGCTCAGAATCTTCACCTTTTTGGTTCTTTAAAAGCTTAATCAAAGAGGACTATTATAAGACTGATTGACAGAAATTCTCCTTCTCTCTTCCCAGTTCTTGAGCAGTTTATATGTAGTTTTAACAAGAATATTTCCGTTCTATGTCAACATCTTCATTGGTGAACAGATTCTTGGGCCGCAATGTCAAAATAAATGAAACAGCAGCGAGGTGACAAGCGGCTTCTCCCAGCACAGGGGGCCGCCCAGGCTGTGGGGTCGGCTGAGGACGGGGACGCGCAGGAGCCGCGGCCTGGGGAGCAGCAGCCTTGGCTGCCGCGGCAGCAGCGGCCGCTGGTCAGAGCCCCTGGTGCTGCTTCTGCCTGTGGTTTTCAGTCAGCCTCTGCGCGCTCTTCCCTGCCACAGCTGGGCCCCATTTCACACATGCTTAATCGCTCGGATTTCCTGACGAGAGCGGGTCTAACAAAGCTGCCTCTGCTTTGAGCGGGGGGCTCGGCGTGGCCTGGGCCAACCTGCGCAGCCGTGCAGTGGCCTCGCAACAGGCTGCCGGCCCGAGAGGCCGTTCCTGGCACCGTGCAGGGTGCTGAGCGCCGCGCTCTGTCCTGTCTAGCTGAGCCCCACAAGGCTGTGTGGGCAGGAGGGGCCTCCCATTGTGTTTGCGCTGGGCTGCAGAGCGCGGGCGCTGCCGCCGGCCGGGCCGACGCAGGGCAGCAGGAGCCGCGCGAGGAGCGGCCGCGCTGGCGCTCGCTCACGGGGGGCCCGTGGGGCCCATGGGGCGCCTGGCTGAGCTCCCACGGGCCCCTCCTGCCCCGGGGCCACGCTGGGCGCAGGCCCTGCTCCCGGCACAGGCAGGGATGGCTCTCGAGTCCTCCTGCTTCGTGCCACAGTTTAGTACGAGGCTGTCATGCGGATGATTCGAGAAGGCCGGCGGGCATGCGCGGCGTGGGAGTGCAGTGATGCAGTCGTGAGGAGGAGCCTGTGGTTTTCCATCTCTGGAGACAGGACACCGCAAGGACGGCCCATCGGGCAGGCGTGGCTGCGGGGCAGCACTTGCTTCCTTGTGGGGTTTAGTGGCCTTAGGCCTGGTAACAAAAGGAATGTTGTCGTGCCAGGCTGTCCCTTTCATGTCCGCTCTCAGAAGTGGCCACAGTATTAGAGATATCCCCTCTTATGATAAAGGTAGCCAGTGGGTTTGAATCTCGTCCCTGTACCACCCCGCTGCTGCAACTCGCCCAGCTCTGCCACAGGTGCCGAGTGCCCCGATCCACTGCGGGAACATACTAAAACGGGAGCAGAGCTGCCGAGGAGAGTGGCAGAGCACAGGGGCCTGGCAAGGCAAAGAGCCTGGGGGGGGCCTGCCCCGTGGCCCCACCAGCTCCCTGCCCCATGGCCCCGCCAGCTCCCCGTCCTATGGTCTCGCCAGTCTAGTGTCCCCTCCAGCTCCCTCAGGTGCTGCAGCAGCCCCGGCCTCGGGGGGCTGCCCTGGCTGCTGGCAGCAGGGAGAGAGGAGGCGCCGCGAAGGTGCCGCTCGGGCTCCTTCCGCCCGTGCTCCCTCCTCTGCGCCCTTCCTTCAAGCAGGGCCCCGTTCCACAGCGGGCTCGGTGTGCTCCACGTGAGGCCCGGCCACGCGGGCTCACGGGTGCCCAGCGCGGCGGCCCCGCTGCCATCCCAGAGTGCGGACCGGGCAGCTGGGCCAGGGCACCCGGACAGCGCCACGGGAAGGAGCCACTTGCTGCCCCTCCGTGTGCTCTAGATCCGCACCGAGCTGGTGCCCATGGCAACAGCTGAGCAGGAGACAAGATGTTCCTTCCAGCAGAGCCCTCGGTAATTTGTTTAGGTTCTTCTTTTTAGCACCAGGTTGCACAGTGTCGCTTGTGACTGCGGGTGTCTCGGCCTCCCCTTCCTCTGCCGCTGCTTGGCCACGGTGCCGGCTCGTGGCTCAGCCAGCCCTTCCCTGGCAGCTCCACCGGCAGCTGCCTTGGTGCCCGGTCGAGGTCGCGCGGAGCAGAGTCACTTGGGCGCCCCGGGTTTTCCGTCTCGCTTGCTACCGCAAGGAGCTGTAGCTGGAGTTGGAAGGTTGTGTGATAGCCTGGCAGGAAATCACTGCTCTTTCCATTTGACGATGGCAGCGCCAGCTGCCGCGTTCAGGCCCCCGCACGGCTGGTAGGGGTCTGCCCCGCTGGGTTGGAGAAGGGGCGATTCCAGCAGTACCCAGGGAGGAACGGAGATCGTCTAGTGTAGGAAGAGGTTTAGAAGCTCTTAGCTTGCACTGAGGGGCTGATGTGGCCAGAGCCCACAGCAGGTAGAGCCGCAGGTCGGATCCGAGCTGCACCAGAAGAGCTGTAAGCTGCCCCCAAACACAGGAGGGTGACGGGTAGGAGGGTGCCAGGTACAGGAATGTGGGGTTCCGGGTCAGCTGGAATTGCAGCTTCAAGGAACCCAACTGATTTTAGGAGGAATTTGGGTAGTTTTGAGAAGGAGTATGAGAGCATCGGTGATGTAAGAGCTTCCTCCCAGACCTTTTAATGTTCCTACACTTTTAGAAGTCTTTTGGAACTCTAAGTAATGCTGTGGCTGTGCAGGGGTTTACCGCAATATTAATAATTTGGAACCTGTTCATTACACACTTGAGGGAGACTTCCTCGTCTACGCTGTGGTGCACAGGGCTGCTGTTTTGCACATGCATTCTTAGCGGGGTTATTTTAGAGAGCAGTGTTGTTGGTTTGGTCTTCACAATGTGAGAAATTTTGGTCTCCACCCGTTGGCCTTTCCCGAATGCCGCCGGGAGGGCAGGAGCGGCGCGCGCAGCGGACGTGCCCGTGCGCAGGATGGCCCGGCTCAGCGGCAGTGGTGCACAGTGCCACGGGGGGGGTTAGCCCTAAACCCCCGTCCGGGCCAGGTGTGCACAGAGTCGGCGTTGCAAACACAGCCCTTGCTCCGCAGCGTGTTGCTGCAGCTCAGCGTCGTGTGAGGAAGCCCTCAGCCTGTCCGCGTCGGCGCCGGCTTACGGATAACGGTGCCCTGTTTTCCTTATACCACTGATGCCGTGCAATTAACCCTGACAAATGACAGATTGTCTGGGCCTCAGCTAAAACAACTCCCATGTAATCGGCTAGCCCTTTGCAAAGAAAATAAAAGGGATGGATAGTGTGATGGGTTAGGGGTCTTTATAAATATTAAACTACGTAATTCTCGGGAATAAAATGTATTAACCTAAATCTGAGACCTGCATTTTACTTGAAAGCTGTGTAAACGCTAATGAAGTGTTGGCCTGGCTTCTTATGCGAGCAGACAGATGGGGGATTAACGGCCTGGGCGGCCGAGGGACAGATGGCTGGACAATGGATGGGAGCTGCCTGGGCAATGGAGCCTGTTTCTGCCTTTGTTGTTATCCGTGCGCGGGCCTGGCTGCGGGAGGAGTAAGTGCTGTGTGGTAGCCTCGGCGTGCCCTTTCTGCAGGTGCGTCCCCGGGATGCCAAGGAGGGCACGTGCGGGTGCTGGCGAGGCCGGGCAGAGGCTGGAGGCAGCGCCCGGCTGCTCCCCGTGTGCAGCACTGAGGGAGCTCTGCCCAGAGCAGCAAGGACAGGCAAGGAGCGAGGCCAAGGCACCTCAGAGCACGGGAAGGAAATGGAGGCTGCCCGCGACAAAACCTGCTCTCGTACGGCAGCAGTTGGAATTAACTGAAAATGCCGGAAATTAGGTGAAAATTTTCAAAGTAGAGATACTTGGTGTCATCTGTACCCCAAGTAAAAGAGAGCAAAACGCTTCGAGAGTTATCCATAGAGCTCATGGAAGATCTTTTTTTCTGTATTTTTCCATTGAAAGCATAATCTTACAGTTAGCAGCTGTTTCTCCTGATTTGCTTGCGCTGCAGGGTTTTTAATCTGGATTTTTCAGTGCGCTGTTGCCTGGGTGCGCACAGCGAGCGTGGCTGCCGTCGGGGACAGAACCGGGCTGGGTTTGTGCCTTTGAGCGACGCCGTTGAGGCGGCCGTGGCCGCTGCACCGTGGCCTGGGCTTTGGGATGCTTTAAGGCATCTTCCTTTTAACTTGTAGGTTTTACAGCAAACCTGTACGGAATTTGGCACGCTGGGGAAGGGTCTGCATGGCCTCTGCTGCGTGGGGCACACGCAGACACCTTTCGTCTAGGGTGCTCAAGGCCGCTCTTCTTGTAATTCGTACATTTGGTTTTTATGCTCTTGTTCAGGGTGCCCAAGTGAAATCAACAGCGACACAGACGATGCTTTACACAGAAAACAATGTTTCTTAATGTCTAATAAATTGAGAACAGCTCCTGAATTTTTTAATACTGGTATGTCCCATCTCTCGGGAATGCTTTTGACAACTGCTGCCATGGCAGCAGCAAGAAATGCAAAGTTAAAAACGATGAAACTCAAATTTAATTCTGAAACTTTTCATTATTGTTATTGCTTGGGAAGCTTTTCTTCTGATCCCCCCCACACCCCCTGCCACTCTACCTAAAGACTCCGGTTTTTGTCAAGCTGCAGTCTTGAGCTCTGGACCGCTTTACCTAGCACAGCGTAGACGAAACATAATTGTGAATCGCCTTGGAGCCACTCGCCAGGACGTCCCGCTCGCCCGAGCTGTTGGGGTGGCGGCAGGGCCCTTTCCCACATCGGCCGTTTCCCACACCCGCAGCTCTGGCAGGGCCCCTGCCTTGGAGGTGACTTTCCACAGCCCTCTGGGCAGCCACAGAGCGTTAGGAGGGGTTAAAGATGCACGCTGGATCCCCCCTCCAGCATCATGAGCCTTTGCAGGAGCAGCACACAAATGTTGGTGTATAAAGCACTAGGCTGGGGCTAACCCAGCAGCACCTTTGTCCCCTGGTGCTTTTGTGTTTATGTAAGCGGATTACACACCTCGCTCTCCTGCTGCTCTTGGTTCTCACCCAGCGTCTCTCTAAT